CTGAAAAGTAGCGGTATTCATATTGATTGAGCAAAGATGCCATAGAAGTCGCTGCACGTGGCGAGATCATCTCAGGTTCCCGACCACTTACCATTGTGAATGTGATAAAATACGGCTCTTATCCAAAATTTGCGTTTTTTTGAAACACGCCCCGCAAACGTAAATTTTCGTAACAAACAGCCGTTCTTAGACTTAAGAGTCATCGGTCAAAACTGAAGAAAATATCACACAGAAAGCGACTTTTAGATCAACTTCCTAGATGTATTCCGCAAACTCTTAAGACATTTTAGGAATATCTCTTGGGAAGCCCGTACGAAAGTTGTCTTTTTTGACCTGTAGATCTTAGCTTTGGCCCCTACGCTGGGATAAACATATTGCTGACAGGCAGAAAACACGTTGCGGGTTGTCTAAGAAAATCTTTCAGAACTGTTTTCCAAACTAGCTTATTTCGCAATCCAAGATTTGAAATCCATCTTGATGCCTACGAGTTTTTCTTTTGTGCTTTTCCTACCAGAGCATCGGCAGCTTAGAGCAGAAAACTGTGCCGGTCCCGTGGCGGGCAATTTTATCCTCCTCGGCCGTGTGGTCTCTGATGGCTACGCACGTCGCCTACCTCTCGGGCTACTGGGTCATTATAACTTGTACACCCTCTTACCTCAATAACTTACTGGACATCGGCATAGAATGGGTGAGTATAGACCCTTTCAGCGCTCCCACGGTCCCCCCACTCCAGCGGCGCGTCGCCTAGCAACGCGATCCAAACAAACCAAGGTGCGCATCCAGCGCGCTGGCCCACTGCACCGTCCGCCGCTACCCATTGAGTTTGTATGCGGCACGGACATGTTCTGTACGTGTGCATACAGAACACATATGACAACCTCATCTGTTCGTGAGGTGTACCGGTCTGCCACAATGGAGTCCGTATGTGCACATACGGGACATATACGTACTAACGAGGTCTGTAATAATGTATACTGTTTACAGTACGTGCGACATACATACATACGCTGCGTATGTATGCCTCACGTGAACTGTATACATTTGTACAGACCGCGTACGTACGTATACGTCCCGTAAATGCACATACGCTCTCCATGTGTGGAAGAACGGTACACCTCACGAACAGATGATGTTGCGATATGTGTTCCGTATACACACGTACAAAACATGTTCGTGCCGCATACAAATTCAATGGGTGGCGGGTACCGTATGCGTTCTGTATTTCAACATTTGACTGCCAGTCAATTTCCTCCAGATGGCACTGCAGTCAGAGCTTCTCCAGCTTAAGACGTTTTGATTTTCAATGAAAATTTTCTGAAGACAGGCTTTTAATTTTGCGCAGAATGTATTCATTAACATTTGTCTTCACCGACTACGTGTGTCATTTTTTCAGAAATTTAATCATATTCTAGAAGTAAACGGTTAGTTTTTTACGCTCGGAGGTCCTGACTACGACGTCTTGGTTGGGTATGGTGGCGTTCAGCGTTGGGACTTTGAGCGCTGCGGCCATATTTTGGTAACAGCGGACACTCTGATACCAACGACCCGCGTCGTTTCAGTGGGAATGGCATGAAGGTCTACGCTTGTATTTACAAATCTAAACATATACTTTACACAGACGGCGTTGCACATACGGCGCGTATGCGTTGCGTGTACGTTGCGTGCACGTCGCGTACACATACAGGT